ACGCTCCCTGTCGCTCACACACACACACTCACTCATGATTTATCTCTTTGGCCCGCGATTTTGCCAGTCGTGACGAGTGACTCGTGTATGATGTACAACTTCTTATTTTAAATTCATTTATTTTCTGTGTTACGACAATTGGTTCAAGTAAATGCTTGCGAATTGCCGTTATTGTTTCCTTTATCTACTCTCATATCTATCAGAGACGGTTGGTAGTTCAAGCCAGGTCCTTGCGGATCGCTACTGACGTCTCCCTGTGAAAGTAAAACACAAAATTAAAAAAAAAATAACGAAAATATCGTAAAACATGAACATTAAAAACTGCAAATTAATACAAATAATCGACTAGTGGCGCTTAACACCACTATTCTCTGTTGCCTTTCTTTTTCTTTTCCAATCTTGGCCTTTACCTGTATAATCTGGTTCACCGATATCAGACACGGCACCCTGCTGCAGAAACGGTCGCCTTAGGATGCCGTGGGAAGGACGTCACCGGAAGATCGCCAGACGCCTATGGACCAGAATGTTCGTCAGAGCAGGTGTTAATCCACCCCAGGATGTGGAAGGGCGCCGCCTGCCGGGACGCCCGTAGATCCAGCGAAGGACCAGGAACTCGCCAGCGCAGGTACCAGTCGCCCCATGATGCTGTTGACGTGCGCCGCCTGCCTGGACGCCCGCAGATCCAGTCATACTCCAGGAGCTCGTCAGCGCAAGTATCAGCCGCCCTGAGATACCGAAGAAAACGCCTGCTGCCCGGACGCCCGTAGATCCAGACGAAGATTACGAGGACGTCTGGACGAGCGCACAGCCGAGAAGGACCTGGGCGAGGCTACGAGATGTCTGGACGAGTCTGAAGTCGAGGACCTGTGCGAGATATCGAGAACTGTTCGACTACGCAAGAACCAGGAAGAAGAGGACAACAAGGACGAGCAGCCACGAAGATGCATCAGGGACAACGCACGCGAGAAAGAGATGACCGGCATATCAGGACCAGCAATATACCGTGTACATAAGCACGATTTGTGTAAGCCCTTAGACATAGATCACATGGCTGTTTGCCACGTGGCTCTAAGTCCAATTTAGAACCAACAAGCCAGCGAGGGCTTGGATGACGAGATTATCTCACCTCGTCTGACCTAGCAATTCGTGACTAGGGCTGGTTGGCGGACCCACGATACCACACCAGCGCGTACCTTAGGACATGGGCTCGTGTGTCTCCCTTACTGTTTAGATCTCTTCCTAAATAAAGAGTCAAGCCGTTATAACACTATCACTGCCCAACCAGTCATAGCCAATGTATTAAGGTACCTGTATCTCTTACAGAGCGAGAGAGAGAGAGAGAGAGAGAGAGAGAGAGAGAGAGAGAGAGAGAGAGAGAGAGAGAGAGAGAGAGAGAGAGAGAGAGAGAGAGAGAGAGAGAGAGAGAGAGAGAGAGAGAGAGAGAGAGAGAGAGAGAGAGAGAGAGAGAGAGAGAGAGAGAGAGAGAGAGAGAGAGAGAGAGAGAGAGAGAGAGAGAGAGAGAGAGAGAGAGAGAGAGAGAGAGAGAGAGAGAGAGAGAGGAGAGAGAGGAGAGAGAGAGAGAGAGAGAGAGAGAGAGAGAGAGAGAGAGAGAGAGAGAGAGAGAGAGAGAGAGAGAGAGAGAGAGAGAGAGAGGAGAGAGAGAGAGAGAGGAGAGAGAGAGAGAGAAGAGAGAGAGAGAGAGAGAGAGTGAGTGAGAGAGAGAGAGAGAGAGAGAGAGAGAGAGAGAGAGAGAGAGAGGGAGAGAGAGAGAGAGAGAGAGAGAGAGAGAGAGAGAGAGGGGGGGAGAGGGAGAGAGAGAGAGAGCGAGCGAGAGAGAGAGAGAGAGAGAGAGAGAGAGAGAGAGAGAGAGAGAGAGAGAGAGAGAGAGAGAGAGAGAGAGAGAGAGAGAGAGAGAGAGAGAGAGAGAGAGAGAGAGAGAGAGAGAGAGAGAGAGAGAGAGAGAGGAGAGAGAGAGAGAGAGAGAGAGAGAGAGAGAGAGAGAGAGAGAGAGAGAGAGAGAGAGAGAGAGAGAGAGAGAGAGAGAGAGAGAGAGAGAGAGAGAGAGAGAGAGAGAGAGAGAGAGGAGAGAGAGAGAGAGAGGAGAGAGAGAGAGAGAGAGAGTGAGAGAGAGAGAGAGAGAGAGAGAGAGAGAGAGAGAGAGAGAGAGAGAGAGAGAGAGAGAGAGAGAGAGAGAGAGGAGTGAGTGAGCGCGTGATTCCAGTCTCACAATGTGCTCCAGTGTCGCTTCAGGCACCGAGGGACACAGGCCAGCCACGTGCTCTCTCCTCCCCGCCTGTCACTGGCACTTCCGCTGCTGCTTCTGTTACTGCCTATGGGCGGTTGACTTCCGAGCCGTTGCTGAGCCCCTTCGATGGAACCCAAGGGCTGTCGTGAACCAGGCGTCAGCTAGGGCGCCTCCGGGCCACAGTTCCTCTCCAGCGCACAATGTTCGAAGTTTCCCTTGCCGCCTGCGCGATGCTTCTGCTGTGCGGCGAGGCGGGTGAGTGGCCTCTGTTGTGCGGTGCTTGTTTCTGTTGTCATTCGTATTTGCATCTTCGCAACGTGAGCCAGCCTGTGTTATCGTTATCATTATCATTATCAGTATCATTTTCATTGTCGTTCTCATTCTCATTATCCTTCTCATTATCATTATCATTGTTATTATCATTATCATTATCATCATCATTATCCTCCTCCTCCACGTCATCATCATCATCACTATCATCACCATCATCATCTTCACCATCATCATCACCATCATTGTCATCATCATTATCATCGCAATCATGATTATTGCCGACGTCACCTTGTCATTATCATCACACATTTTTCATTTTATTTCACAAGCGGTCAAATCTTATTAAAGCCTTGTTGTAACATAATTTAGACATTTCTTCACATTGATGTTAATTCCCTATTAATTTGATTGATATGACGCAAACATCGTGTTACGTTTATTAGCATAATTAGTCTAGAAAGATTTAAGGATATAGTCATGAGGGAGGAAAAATTTAAACAGGCCAAGTAAGTTCATTACTAGTGTGACAGCAGACAAGGGAGTAACTAAACCAAGCTCAAAAGGAAAATAAGGAAAACATCATTATGGTACAAAGAGGGATAAACACACAAAAGAGCTTACGACAAAATGACAGGAGGACAGATGATCTTAATGGTTCATATTGAGGAAGGTGGCGATGACGAGGATGAATGCGTGGAGACGGTGGTGTGAGTGAAAATGATGTCGGCGATGAAAGTGATGATCATGAGATAATGTTATGATGTCAAGAATGAGGACTATAATGGTGACGATAATATATTTGATGAGTTTCAGTATATACATGAAAATGCTGAATATGATAGTGAATATGATATGATACTAATGGTCAATGCGGCATTGTTCGTGCTTTAAAAATAGTACTGGCATTGTGTTGTTATACTGGTTATCACATGAATGATAAACGCAGCCAAAATAATAATAATCAGTGTCATAAAATAATACAAAACAGTCACATACATTTAATAAATTCTATGAAGAGTGATACTAGGAGCATGCATTAATGAGCGAATTAATTACTTTAATAATACTGAGTAAACTACCCTTAATCATAATAACCATTATAATAATTATCGAAGTCATATTAAGCATATAAACTATGACACTATGATAATTATGACACCAATAATGGATATGGTAAAACGATTGCCATATATGAAATATGTTACAGGATGCCAATTGGAACTGTAAAGGATTTTTTGTCTAATTTCGATTGCTAAATATAATAATAATCATGCTAATCATGGCAGTTAAAAATATATTGACATTTATGATTTAAGTAGTATTCATGGCATTATTGATGTTATAGTATCCAATAACCATATATCACAGTAATAGTAGAAACGATGTTAACTGTAACTTTCATTATGGTCATTAGAATTATGATCATTATAATTTTAATAATCAGAATAAATCAGAATGTTACATTAACTATAATAATAGGTCGTTATTAATCTCATTATCGCGGTAGTTATATAAACCACGTATAATACAGTAGATACAACAACATTAATTGATTATGGAAATCCTAACTGTAACGGTAACATTTATTTTTATCATCATGATCCGGTTTATTCTAACAGACGAAACTATGTGTCTAGTCCTCAAACAAACAAACAAGAAACATTAACTTGCAGACATTAAAGATTCTCATGTTCCGTACTCAATTGCCCCCAGTCCCCCGAGGGCAATGGATGACTTAAGGAACAGACTTAGCTCCACGAAAGGCCCCGCCGGCACCCTGCTATTTCAGAAGAGAGAGAAATTTTGTGAAATAACTAGTATATTATGACTAAATTTTACATCTCATAATACTAATAGATTAGTCTATATACAGTGAGGACCGAATCGCGGACGAGGAATTCGGGTAACCCACCATCCCCATGTCCTTTTGGAGGCCAACACTGCATGCGGCGTGCAATGCGAGGCCAGGGAGGGTGGCAGAGACCCCTTGGTGGAAAGGGCTTCGAGCTTCCATTCTGTGACATGACAAACGCCCACTATTACCGAGGAAACCAGATATGGGCAGAAAAAAACAAGAAGATCTGGCTGTGGCATGATCAGTGGGCGTGACAACACTTTTTACTAGTCAGGTCGCAGTGAAGGACACCATCTTCTTCAGTAGGCTCTGGTCTTCGTAAGTGGAGGTAGGAGACATTCGATAATGGTATGGAGATGAAGATTCGCCCAGCTCAATGTCTCTTATTGCCATGTACATTTCTACCAATTTAAGTAACACATGTGAAAAAAATTGTTCTTTGCCAAACTCACTTTTGTAACAGACTGTCCTTGACCAGAGATCCACGTTGTACTTAGTGACTTCATTCTGTGTGACCATGGATGTCTCTCGGTTTATTTTATTGCCACTGTCTGTCCAGTAACTTCCCAGGGAAGTTTCGGCTGTTATTTTGACGATATCTAATCCTAATGGAGCCTGTTGCACTATAGGACACTTTATGGCACATTCCATCTAGCCAAGCCACTCGTCTTTTCCTCTCCAACATTCCCCCACACACCATACTACTACATATCACAAAGTCACTTCCTGGTAAATCGTTGTCTTTTTACTATTTATATATCTTTGTATTTATATATAATATGAAGATACATTCTGAGAGGAGCATAGAGATTGTGACATGAGAAAGGAATTTTTGAGACGAGTGTGTGTTATTAGTGATAATCCCAGTCCACTGCTCGGTGTCGTGGGGGGACTTAGGGAACTGAGGCACAATGTGGAGGATCAACCCTACCTTGGTCCTCAGCCATCACTTCAACTAATTTTGCACAGTCTTTTCTTCTCCTTTCCTTTTCCTTCTCTTCATCCCCGTCTTCTGTCCACTTATCCCAACTGTTAACTCCTTTTTACTCTTTTCGCCACAATACTCATAATGCTATAAGACCTTTGATGTCTAGCACATTTATTTGTTTTAACCAGTAATCATTCTGGAAAAAAAGCATTGACTTACTGAACAAAAAACTTCCTTACCTTTGCCTCCAAGCCCCCCTATCTCTATATTTTGAATACGCTGCTAATAATTTTAGATGTTGATGTGGCAGAAAAAAATAAATTAATGTATATTAAATATTAATGGTAAGGCTGGTAAAAGTGCTGTTTTTTTATTGAATTCAATAGAGAGGAAAGGAGTTGTTTTTGCACCAACACTCATCAACCTTGCATGAGCTAGGTACTGAGTAGACCAATCATCCAAGTTCAATGTGGGGCAACTCTGAGTAACATCACGATCAAAGACCTTGACACTTGATCTTGCTCTCCTATCTAAATCGCCATAGACCATACGGCAGTAGTTCTAAATCTTTGCACATTATAAAGATATCTTACTCTTCTACGACACTCCAAAAATTTAACTTTATTGATATTCATATACGAACGCATTTTGTATATATGCATTTATTATTGATTTTCTACATATTCTCCTATGTTTCAGACATGAAAGACAGTAGTTTGGAAGGCAAGAAATACACACCTACACAATTTTGTGTTATAATGTGCAAAGTGAGAACCACTGCTCAAATGGCAGCTCTTAATACATTTTAGCAGTGAGATGAAGCACTTTGGTTAGAGGCCTCCTGGATCAAGAGCAATATCCAGGACCCTGGGGATCTTTAACAAGAACCAGGTGTCCAACTAATATATGCCTTCAGTGAGCCGTTAAAGATGCCCAGAACTTTGCATATTTCAGTAACAAAGCTTACAATTCTGACCTGTCACCTCAGGAAGTTAGCAGATGGATTGGTCTAACGATAGGGATTACTAGGTTTTTTAACCCATTCGCGCCGGGTAAAAATTAACAAAAAATGGGGGAAATGCTGTGCTCATTTTTTATATCTTTTAATGAAATTTCTCTACACTAGATGGCTCTGCTTTACCGGATTTCATTTGGCGGGAAAATGTATTTTTACTAGTGCTATGAATATCGATGGTTATTTTTATTATAAACATTATAATTACTATAATGTTATAAACATTAGTAACAGCAAAATAAGATAACGCAAAATAATTTCGTAAATTAAAGAAAAGGGTAAACAGACGAGACAGGCAGTACAAGTGCAAGTGGAGCCATCTATGATGTAAACTCACAGTGGGCCCGTCACGTATACGTGACGCTCGGCGCGAATGGGTTAAGAAGAGTGAAAGTCCTTTCTGTGCAAAAGAACCAGGTTATTGATATTTCAGGCCTGGATACTGCCGGTTTTGTTGTATATACTGTGCTTTGATGTCATATCTTGACCTATTTTGTAATAGGGCCTTGTATCAGAACATTGGGTATAGCTGGTATGCCATGTGTCCATTCACTGAGAACACTGTGAGGCTGGCATAGAACCTGTTGCCTGCACAATTTATGATCGCCAATTCAGAGACAATCCATAGAAAGGTGAGATTAGCCTGTTGACTTTAATCAGGTTTATTGTAATTAGAGCAATAATGCTGATGAAAGCCAGGGTAGAAAGTAAAGCTGGGAACTCTGCTTTAATACTTTAAAAATGGCTACTCTTGGTTTGCTATAACATATGGAAAGATGACTTTGGAACTTCCAACAACACCTCTTGTGGCACAGGTTCCAAAATGGATTATGGAGTACTGGAGTAATGAATATGAAGAGTATGGAGTAATGAATATGAAGATGATAATGTTAGCGATGGTGATTTCAACTGATGCTCATAATCATAATTTTAATATGTTACTTATAACAATGTAGTAGCAGTAATAGTTGCAATATCATTGTAGTTCACTATGATCGTTACAAATCTAGTATTGGTACAGCAGTTTTAGCGTAACTATAGTGGTAGCGATAACTATCATAGTTGTAGTGATAGTAGCAATTGTAGCAGTAGTAAAAGTTGTAGCACTAATAGTTTAAATAATAGTAGTACTATTCAGTTGCTGCACATATTAATATTAATAACATTAATAATTTTAGTGATAA